GCTCAAGTTCACTTGCCATCAGTCAGTCTATCACAGTTACAGTCTGGAGGCCCTATGTTTGGCATGTTTAGGACAGACTTGTATGATGGATCATATCTAATATCAATATAAAACAGTCTACATATTTTAATTGGGTGAGGGGTTACAGAGTGGTCCTCTATTCCATTCTAAGTTGGAATATAAAATGCTGATATTCTCTAGTCCTCCCTGCCAACTCCTCTGCTAGCAGTGCTTCTGTTCTGAAGTTTTAGATAGTAATGCATGTCCTCTGTATCACCTTTCAGCGAGGAGCTTCACATTATCCCCTCAGATTCCACCTGCCTTCATGCAAGTGCCCTAACTAACCAGTAGAAATTGCTAGTGCTTCCCCAAAGATCTGATCCCCATCTTGGTTCCCACCAACAACCAGTGTTGGGGAGTAGTGAACTAAATGTAATTAAACGAGTAGATTAGTTACACTTTGCAGTAGTTTGCTGGTAGTTCAACTACATATTCACATAGCGATTCAAGTAGTTAAATGACTTTTTTGTGTAGTGAACTACTGAACTACTACAGTTATGGGCCATAAAAATAAAGAATTTTTTTTTTTTCATTTTACCACTGCGTAACTGACATTGAGAGACTGTTCATGTCATATAAATGAGAGATTCTGCTCTGACAAGTAAAAAGACAGGCCCACTATTTAGACTGGTGTTCAATCTGTTCATACTGTCTAAAGATGTGCAAGCTGAAGACTGTTTAGGTTGTTAACACTGTTACAAAACTGACAAGTAAAACAACAGGCCCGTTTAATTTAGACCAAGTCAGTCAAACAGTCTAAAATGACACAGGTTCTATATTTGCCTTTTTGCTGTTTTAGTTGTAGCCAGATAACACAAAATCCAGATTTGTTTACACGGAAATATAACACTCCTTGCAATGTTGTCTTTGTGAAAAGCCCAGATGGGATTGTTTTACTTAGTTCACGTTTAGGTCACAGGTAATAAAAACAACCGAGTGGCATGTTTGCTGGCATGTGACTTTGTTTTTTTGGTTATAATTTTGTCCCTCATGCACATTTTGTACAAAGTATTTTGAACTACTTTTTCTAAGCAGCTTTAGTTAACCAGCTAGACCTCTCCCTAGAGTAGCTTTGCTGTGGCTCCACTTCTTCCACTGTGAAGTAACTGGTAGCTTGCAAAGCTGCACTTTCAAAGTAACTTCCACAACAGTGCCAACAACTAATATGATCGGGGGAAGACATCTTAATAAAATCTAAAAATCAAGGAGCTTTCATCGTTACAACCTTAAAAGAACAGGATCTCGTTACCATTATTGTGGCCATTTTTACAAGTCATCCTACCAGTTTGGTAAAAATCAGTCAGGGGAAATAGTTAAAGGCCCCTAAAGCTTTCCAAATAAAGCTTTTATTTTAAAGAAACCATTTCAAATACCTTTCACTGAGTCCAAGTGATGTAAACACAGAAACTTGGACTAATGTAGCTGTTTTTTTCTGGCATCCACCAAACCCAAATCTACAACAGAGGTGGCGAGTGCAAAGTTAACATGATTCAACTGTAGTCAGATTAGCCACCGCTATAAAAAGGCTAAGGGAAAAATGCCAGAATCTTCCTGCAGTGCTGATTTTATCAGTACTGAAAACCACAGACAAAGTTGGTTTTGCATGATAAAACAGACAAATTACACAAATGTATAAGTCATATTATGTATTTGCTATTTGTTCAAATAGGTTAAGGGGGGCAATACAAATTTTGGATCCTGATCTTTTGAGCACTTATTTCCTTCCTTGCTGCCTGTAGTTGGTGCACTGAAGAAAAACAAAGCTTTGCAAGAGCTCCACCTTACCAACAATCTGCTAAACAGCTACCAGGATGCCCTGCAGCTTGGAGACCTACTACGCTACAACACCACTTTACAGACTCTGGAGATCAGCAACAATGCTGTAGCAGATGATGGTAAGATGCTTATCTTTGGTACAGAATAAAAACCTACTGTATGTGTATTCAAAGTTGTGAAGTGCAAAATATGTAACAATGTGGGTCACGTGATTTTGTCTATGTGAGACATGTTCATCCTAGTTATTAAATTTATTTAATGGAGGAAATGTTTGCTCAGTCAGTTAGAAATAGAGCAGGGCTTAAAAGGGGAAACAGATGTTAGCAGGGATATTTTTCAACTGTGGACAGAGCCCAAGTCCTCCTGCTACCAGCCTTAATGCTAAGCTAGGCTAACCATGTGCTTACTATGGAGCTGTCCTTAACACACAGACATATGACTGATGTAAATCTTCTCAACTCAATCAGAAAATGGAATACTGTTAACACATTTGTCAGAATGCTAATTCATAGGTCAGAGTTCACATGTTTATATTCATGCAATGAAAGTGCAGCTTTGTGTGTGTGTGTGTGCATTAGGTGCAGAAAAACTAATAACTCATATAATTGGATTTTAAAGGATTAGCTCAACATTTTACAAAAATGCAGTATGTTCAGGTAATTCATGTTTAAGAAATGTGCATTATTTCCAAGACCAAAGCAGCATTGTTCTCACTGTGTAAGAGACACAATCTTGTGATAATACTTATGCACCCCTTGTTCATTTTTTTTTCTAATTAAAGAGTGACCTTCATAACTTTGCCTGCCAGCAGCCTGATAGTGGGAGGAGTTGTCACACAGTCAGTTTGCAAACTTGTGCAGTCCAGCTTTATTATTATTGTCTAATTAATATAGACATGCGAAAAGGTTAAGCTCATAGTAAACCCTTGTCATATTTAGTGGAGCTCAAGTACCACTGTAGCAACACTCCCACTAAACATCTGTCAGTGCCATTAAGCTTACAAACAAGACGAGACAAACAGTTATGCTGAACATGTTTTGTGAATTACCATAATGTCATGTTTTGTGTGTGTGTAATTGTTTTTGATCCAGGTTTGGAGGAGCTGTGTGATGGTCTGAGATGGCAGACGGCAGGTCTGAAGGTCTTATTCCTAAGGAATAACCAGATCACTGCAAAAGGCATGGTCCATCTGGCTAAGACTCTGGTGAGAAATAAATACCAACTTTTGGTTTGGAACAAAATCAGATAGTGCTGACAGTTAGTGTATAAATGTTTTCCAGTGCTGAAGAACAGACCTCTTCTTTTACAGGAAATGTCTTCAGCCTGTAGCTGTAGACTGAATGGCATAGTCATTGTTCTCAAGAGGCAACCATGTTTGTAGGCATATGAGCCAGGCCTTTGGGACAATGGCAGGGCCAGCGCTTCTTGCAAAACATTGTGTTCTACAGTAATTTAGTGCAAAAATAATTAGTTAGAACAAAATGTTTCCTTTTTCCACCATAAATAAAAATCATTATGTGTTATACGGAAACACCTTGCTATGCTCCAAATACAGTGCTCATTGGATCACTTAACAGCTTTATAACTTTGGTCATAAAATTGTCTGATTCTGAGGGGTGTGACAAAGTGTGAAGCTGGATTTATAGTCAGTGCAAGGAATTCTATCATAGATACCTCCAGCATCTGTTTTTATAAGTCATAAAAAACAATGAAAGGCAGCTGGTAGCATCCTACTGTAGCTAAATGAAAAATGATCTTATTCCAGGGTCAGATTAGACCTCTAGTACATCTGCCACACCACTTGTGGCGGGAGGGTATGAAACAGGTTAAAAGGAAAAACAAAAAACTCACTTCTTAGTGAAAATTTTCGGCCTGTTTCTAGTTCCATAACTAACTAGTTTCAGAATTCATTGGTCATTGAGAGGAAAAATTTATATGAGAGGATATGGACTCCAGCAAGGGGTCATGGAGAACTGCTGATCTGACATCACATTTGTGCACAATATATAGGCGCATGTATGAAGGCCACAGTATCGCTAATCCCTGGACATACTGTACGTAGGGACAGAGCTTAACCTCTCACACTAAGGTGGCATATTTCAAGATTCAAAGCATTTATTGTCATATGCACAGTATAGAAACGTGTTTCCCCGCACAATGAAATTCTTACTTTGCCGTCTACACTGAGTGTCAAACAGCACAGGTTAAATATAAAGTAGATAAACAGTAGCACAGAGACACATATTAAAGCACCAAACACTGCTTGACTGGTGGAGATATTCACTCAGTAATTGACTACCATGAACTTGCAGACCTCCCTCTTACATGTTATTAATTCAGGACAAGACCCCAAATCCTCCTGAATGATAACAACCAGCAGTTATAGGCAGCTACCCTCTCATACCTTCAGATGTTATTCTACTAAGAAATTTTTATTGAACCAATATACTCTGGCTCTTTGAGGAATTTTAAGTTTTTGTCTGAAGTAACCCATAAAAGCTGTGGCGCTGGCCACTTATGACCATATTTGCATTGCACAGTCTTTAACTGACATAAGTTATTTTTTAAGCAGGACTCTCAAATTGTAGTGTATATAATGTAAGGTGTAAACAGTTGACTATTTCCTAAAGTATCTTGTAACTATTCTGTCTGAATATTTTGTCAGTTATTTAATACTAATTAGCAATCATCACTGATTTTCTCTTTAAGAGGTTAACCACATTTAAACTACTTATATTGTAATTTATGTTAACCATCATATGCAGCTTTAAACATCATTACATGCAAGGTCTAAAACCATTCTAAACCCATAAAAAGAATAGTAATAATAACATTAATAATAAGGGACAGACTGACTCAATAAAGAGAAAGAGAATCTAACCTTTTTAGAAACCTTTTATAGATTTTAAAGGAGTTACAGAATAGCAATAAGACAAAATTAAAGTAATCAACAGTCTTGGTTTGATTGGCTTACCACTAAATAAATCAACAACTACTATTCTTAAACATTAATCCAAGTTATCATGTTGATTAAAAATTATTATAGTTGAGCTCTCAATCACTGAGAACAAGTCAAAGAGTCTCTCATCGATTTCCAGTCTTCAGTTGGTTTATTGGTGGTTGTGGAATTTTGTTAATAATCATTACTCCCTCTTCAGGTGAGGACTCACATTTTTGTTGTTAGCATGTGGAGATTATTGAGCATGTCGACCGTCCATTATTGGCTTCCCGCTCTGGATAGTGGCTCTAAACAATCTCCTGGTCTTCTAAAACCAATGTGTTTGTTTTGGTAACATTAGCGACTTAGCATGGTCATGATTTTAAAATTGTATTGAAATTATATGACTTTAATGTGAGAGTAATTCAGACATTGTGTAACGTGCACTTACAATGCACCTCTTCTCAATACATACTGAATGTATTCCAATATTTATCTGAAGTTAATAATAGCAGCAATCTGATTTGGACAAATCACGTGGAATTCAAATTCTCTCTGTGTTACTGTCCTTCCACCACAGCTCAGGAAGGAAGCACTCTAAACAGAAAGAGAGATTTTGCACTTAAAGCTACAACTTCATCAAGATACTGAAATGACTATTTCTGACCATGAGGTGATCAGAACAACCCTCATAACTTTGCAGTAGCTATGCTAAACTGTTCATCTGATACCTGTTTTTTCTATCTGGTACCAAGGAAATGAGAGTGCTGGGCCTGATCCAGAGAATTCCCCTTTCTGTAAAATGTCCCACCTCCACATGCTGCATTGTACACTCCTAATAACATGCATTCCTTCCGCCTGATTGGCAGCATAAACTGCACCTTCCTGTCATGTGAGTGGCGATTGTGGAAGTCAAAAGGCTAGAAATTAAAGGCCTGCCTCATATGCTCACACACACGCACACACACACATTTCCCATGTCTCCTCCAGTGATACCAAAAGAAGTAACGGTTTGATTAAATAATAGATGTGTGTTAAGCAGGGCTGCTCATGTGGCCTGCCAGTCATGGGGATAAGTGGATGTCCTTGCAGGCCATAATGATGATAATTAGACCCGTAGCTGGTTGTGTCGAATATGATGATGAGAAGAGCTGTTATTAACCTTTCTGGTTGGTGTATCTGCTTTTACTCTCTGTCCTCCTGGCTCGCTGGCTTGTCTTTTGAAGGACTAAGATGAGGGACTCAGATCTTGGCCAAAATCTGCTTGAGTCTGACTTCTAGAATTTTGCTGATGATGTCTAAATTTACTCTTTGTACAAATAAATAAATAGGTAAAAATTTTGAAATGATGGAAAAAAATGATTTTTAAGGTGAACATGTCATGCTGGGCTTTCATTTTTCTACTATGCATGCTTCTGTAGATTTTTTTTTTAAAGCCAGCATGTCATGTGTGAAAGCATACTGTGTTTTTGGTGGCTTCACACTCCTACCCCCCTCAAACTTCTCACTCCAACCCTCCTGTGGTTTACATTTGACAGGCTTCAACCATGCTTGACTCTCACACACTCTCAACCACGCAGTCGCCTCTTTAATTGTCTGCTATTATCCCTCGCGCATACCCATTCGAGAAGCTCTTCCTCCCTCTCCTCCTCCCCTCTTCGCCACAGAAGCTTCTCGCCACGCGTTGGATGTGCCGGTGCTTCTGTGTGCCGCAACTCAGCAAGGAGAAGGGGGGGACCCTCTCAAGTGTGTTTGTTGTCACCACGGTGCAAATTAACTCAGAAGAAGGCGCTCTCCGGGTCTGTCGGTTGCCTTCCTGGCTTCCTTTCCGCCCCCACGCTCCCTCTCTCTTCAGAGCAGTGACCAGAGGAGTTTAACAAGGGTGGCGAGGCGAGGGGGCAACCAAGGAGTGGGAGGCATGTTCCTCTTCAAGCTGTTGGGCTACATGGGCCCCTCGTGGCCCAGACACCCCCAGCTTTATGCACCAGCTAATCAACCTTCAATGCTAATGTGGCTCTGGAGAGTGGAAACAGAAGTTCTGAGCATTTAACATGAGAGGAAACATTTTGAAAAAGAATAATAATCACTGCATAATAATAATGATAATTAAAATTTCTCAGCCTTTCCACACTTACATGCACACACTGGAAGTAGTGCGCTACACAGAGTTTAAAGCAACGATTGGATCATGTGTGACTTCACGATCACTGCTTTTCAGCCAGTGCTGAAGGTGCTGCAGGTCCTGGATTTGGGTGAGAACCTGCTGGGAAATGAAGGCATCCAGATCATCAGAGAGCCTTTAATGGTGAACTGCTCAGTACTGCAGCTCAGCTTGGCCCAAGCCAGCATCACCTGTCATGGTACAACAGTCCATACACAGTAGGATTTTAACATGTAGTACAGTTTCGGTGCTTATCAAGATTAGCCTCATTAAAATAAAACATAATGGAGCCATTCCCAGCCAGCATTTAACAAGAACCACTGCACCACTATGCTGCAGTTGATTAACAATATACTGTACATGCCAATAATTTTTCTGTCAGTTGACTAATCAGTCAACTAATTGTGTCAACTCTAAATAGAGATGGTTAATTTAGTTTTAAAATTGGAAATTTCACCCTCAAATCACTGGTGTTTAAAAGTACCTTTAGCCTGTTGATATTTTATCCACAAATCTTTTTTATCTGTAAGTAAAGTTTCATAACTAGTAAACTGAACACATGCATAAGGATTTAGCTTTGCTTCCTATACATACTGTATCATATAATGACTCGCGATTTTTACTCATCACCTCTCTATAATGTACTAATCTTAAGAAAAATTAGCTTGTCCACATTTGATTTTAACTCCATAAACATTTTTCAGAGACAGGGCTAAGTCTTGGCCTCTGAAGTCAAACCATAGATTTTCCACTTAGGTTAGCTTAAAACCAAAGCCCAGTGAAAAAGTTAAGATCTAAAAGAAATGTAAGGCTCGTAAAAAAAAAAGTGCAGTCTAGACAATTACTTACAGGAGAGTGTCAAGAAACGTTTGCAAGATGAAACTAAGCTCGCCCAACTGTCAACTATTGTTGACTACTACTGGCCAAGTACCTAGGGAGTACTAATACACTATTGTCCCACTGTGCGTGTGACTTGTTTTGTTTACAGGATCCAGCTGAAATGTTTTCTTTATTGTAGGTGCTGTGGCATTGGCTGAGTTCCTTGCCGAGAACCATCACATTCAGCGTCTAGACCTCCGTCAGAATCAGGTGAAGCTTGGAGGACTAATGGCCTTGTGTCTGGCCCTGAGGATCAACCGCTCTCTTGCTAGCCTGGATTTGGACCACATGCCCCCACAGGAGCAGGTTGGTACTGTTAGGGACACGAGTCCCTTTTAGCCTCATTTGGACTTGCACAGTGGCTCTTCTGCTAAAACACGGCTAGCAGACCAGTGACTTTATATGCTGTTTCCCTTGGTTTTAAATGGTAGTTTTGTTGTATGTGGTTCAGGGTATGTTAGATACTTGCATGTTGCCTTATGTGAGTTTCTGCAGTAACTTGTAGAGTTTAGCAACAATACTGATAAAGAAAGAAGTACGAGTTATTCAGCACAACAGTGAATAGCACCAGAGCCTCAAGCTATAAAACTGAAGAAATCAGATTCTTTTTGGTTTGTTCTGCTTTGCTGTCGGTTAGTGTGTGCAAAGATGAGTTCACAGTGACTAATAAAGAGGATGCCCTGGCTAGCACAATGATTCCACCATTGTTACCAGCCAGACCTGGCTAGATTTGCCATATTATCTATTGAAATCAATAGCACCAAGAAGCTGGACTTAAGACAGACTGTGGAGGATTTACAGCACAAGACTTGTAGAATAACTGTTCAAATAAGTAAGTAAAGTCATTATTTCCTACAGGGCCGGCCCAATCCTTTATGGGCCCTAGGTAAAACTTGATTTGGGGGCCCTCAGCCTCCTCTTTGTTGCCAGTACTATTAACTATTGTCAATACTTGATCATTCACACATGAATGGTAAATCTAACACACCTATTATCAATTGCATTAATTGTAGCTGTTTGCTTCCATCATATCAGTGTCAGCTTGGCATGTTTTTATGCTTCTATGGTTTTTTAATATTAAAAGGTCGCAAACTCACAAGAGTGGTACTAAGTCATATACTGAACCTGGTGGACTGAAAGGTAATAGAATAAACCAGCATTTACTGTAAACAAGTAAACCACTGTAACTGCTTTTGGTTTAAAAAATGCAAAAGTACAGAGCAATTGACTGTAGGTACAATTACAATTAAATAACTTAAACAACTTCAACTTATACAGAACCTTTATCAAGAAAGTTTCCTTTTTTTAATATATTTTTTAAAAGACAATACTTTAAATACAAGACAATACAATAAATACTAATAATGACAAAGTGAATCACTTTTTATATCAACATTTATATATCTTATTTACACATTTTAAATATTGGTAATTATATATTTCAAAATTTAAAACCCAATTTTTTGTATATCTAGATTGGGGAGCTAACATAAACAAGCTTTCTTGTGGGACATTCTTGCACTTATTTCACTTATGCCTCAGGCCTGCTCTGATTTCCCAGTTTTTGATAAGTTGCAAATTACAATATAGCAATGTAGCTGTGTGTGTGTGTGTGTGTGTGTTTTCAAAAATCTGCAGACTTGCTGATTTGAAGGGTAATTATCGCGGGGCTGCACTGGCAGTGTTTACTTTGCATATACAGCTACCAGTGATGTAACATACCAAAAACCTATGGTATGATACCGCCAAGATAACAAGTCTACAATACAATACTTGTCAGGATATTTAAAAAATGAAGACAATGAAAAAACGTCCTTTACTAAATATTAAATCAGTGTTTTTGTATGATACTCCTTTTAATTTAAAGTACTCCTGCTTTCCTTCTTTATTAAAATAAAAGTAGCCAGCCATGACCTAAGCATGTGGGGGAAAATACGGGCCTGAATTCTGATGGCACTGAATGACTGAACTGTTTGTACAGTTGTAAAACAAGCAATGCAGCAGTCAGTAGTGGTCCTTCTATGAAATAAATTGTTATTGCAGCAGCTGGATCCTGTAAACAAAACAAGTCACACGCACAGTGGGACAATAGTGTATTAGTACTCCCTAGGTAGGTTTTACTTTTTCTGTCTGATGGCCATGCCAACTGGTATTCCTCCGATCAGTGGGGGCAGGATTGAGCAAATCACTGCTTGATGCACCAGAACGAAGAGAAGAAGATGCCAAACTACACTAAGAAAAGCCACTTAAAGGTGATATTTATTATTTTTTTCAGCTACTGTTTCTAAGCTGAAAAAAGTTAGCAGAAGGCATCTGGACATACTTTTAGGTAGAAGACATTTCACCTCTCATCCAAGAGGCTTCATCAGTTCTGCCTGAATGGTGGTGAGCAGGTGGTATTTATCCCACTGGGTGGGGTTTCAGTCCTTCAACAGCCAACAATGTCCTCCAAGGACTGAGTCGTTGGAGTTTCAGTTCTTTGGTGGCCAACAGTGGTATCTGTCAGAGTTGTTTCCTGTCTTTCAAACCTCACATGTAGACCTATGTCTATTGTCCTGGTGTGAATTGGGGTGGAAATGTTTGGGTAGAGATCTCAAACAGGATTGTAGATGGATGACAAGTTGTGTCTTAGTCCCCCACCCCTATTTAGTGAGGGGTGTTCTTTTTAGACAAAAATAGCTTCCATGACTCCTCTCTCAAACCAGCGATGTTCTCTGGAGAGGATCTGGACTTCACTGTCCTCGAAAGAATGTCCTTTGTCCTTCAGGTGGAGGTGGACTGCTGACTCTGGTCCACTGGAGTTGGCCCTCCTGTGTTGGGCCATGCGCTTGTGCAGTGGCTGTTTTTGTTTCACCAATGTACAAGTCATTACACTCCTGGCTACACTTAATTGCTTGATGGACATTGTTGGCCATCGAAAGATTGAAACCCCACCCAGTGGGATAAATACCTCCTGCTCACTACCAGTCAGGCAGAACTGATGAAGCCTCTTGGATAAGAGGTCAAACTACGTCCAAATGCCTTCTTCTAAGTTTTTTCAGCACACTATGAGCTGGATGACTGAGAATTTGCACGGACATACTGTTTCTAAGGTTAACAGTGAAATTAGGATATCAACCTTTAAAGCTGCATTAACTGAAATGTAGCACAGATTTGGAAAATAAAGTAAAAAGTTGTCTAGAACCATGGCAGCACGGTGGAGTGGTGCTCAGCGCTGTTGCCTCACAGCGAGAAAGTTCTGGGTTCGAGCCCTGGGCGATCCAGGGCCTTTCTGTGCATGTTCTCCCCATGCTTGTGTGGGCTCTCTCCAGGTGCTTGGCTTCCTCCTACAGTCCAAAGACATGTAGCATAGGTTGATTGGCATCTCTACATTGCCCGTAGTAGTGATTGTATGTGTGAGTGGTTGTTCGTCTGCGTGTTAGCCCTGCTATGGACTGGTGACCTGTCCAGGGTACCTGTAACAGTGTACCCTGCCTCTTGCCTGCAGCTGACTGGGATTGGCTCCAGCCCCCTTAAGCGGTTTAGAAAATGGATGGATGTCTAGAACCGCTTTCTCCCGGCTGTAACCCCTCCCCACCCCACTCTGCAATCTCAGGCCATGTGTTTCTTTCTTGCCCTTTGTGGCCAGTGTTGTCAAAATTCACACCACACTTCTTCCACACCCCTGTTGTTCGGAGGGTAAAAGATGCATTTTTCAAACCAGTATGGCTCATTTCAAAGCTGGACCATGGAGGCTCCCTATGCAGGTACAACTCAGGTTGGAAGCAGACCAGTTAGAACCATGTGGCCACATTCTGTAGCACAGAAAGAGTGCAAGAAAGACCAAGGCAAGCCAGGGTTAACATCAGTTTGGCATGTTGGAGATGGAGAGCACTAAAAGCATACAAAGGACTAAAATCTGACACAGATGTGACTTTCTTCCTGCTACGCATGTAAGTACTGTAGCTGGCTAACATGTATATGTCAACATCATTAGCAAGCTAGCTAGCTTTTCAACTTTGTACCTGTGTATTGAATTATTCTGGTTATTTGTCATTCCAACTGACTGCAATGATAGTGTTTTGTTGGCCAATTAGCAGAAATGAGTGTGATTAGCAAATGAAATAATTTTACTCAGTGTGCTCATTTTGGCTCGGTTTTGATCCAGTTTATGTTGGACATAACACAGCAGTCCATATAGAATTTTAGTGAGAAATTAAAATTTACACCATCAACACAACTAGAAAAGTGGGGAGTTTGTTTGTTGTTCAACTATCAAAGTGTAATATGAAATTTCTCGTTTCACATATAATTTATTGTTCTGTGTGTCAAGTATGTAACATTGAATGTGAAGCGATAGTGGCTGGAACATTAGTACTATATCAATATTACTGGGAAAAATCATTCCTCTATATAATTTTCTTGTGTTATTGCAGATTCATCTGCTACAAACAGCGTCATACAACATCTGCATGCATATTGTTAAAATGTAAACCCCTTTATTTGACACTGTGTTGCTGCAATGCCACTGAAAACCATGGGCTCTATAGGCTCTATATTCCGTATACATTAGTGCTGGAGCCGGTTATTATTACTGCGCTACCTGACTGCCTCAACTGTCTCTGGCTGTCGTGACCACATATGACACAGTTTTACAGACAGGGTGGGAGGAACAAAGAGGAGCAGAGGGAGAAGAGGAGGGGATACTGCTTGAGTTTGTTTTGACTCTCACTTCGCCCTTAACAGTCAAAAATTAGAGCTTGAAGTTAGGTAATCCAGCTTTAAAATGAGAAATGAAGTGCTAACAAATTGGACATTTGAAAATGTTCAAGTCCATGAAAAGTAGGCAAAGTCCATTAGCTGTTGAAGACATACATCTACAGTAATTGAAGGTTCCAGCAAAACAACCAAATCGATCTTGGGATGAGATTGTTTTGTCATTTGGATTATTTAAGTGTCTAAAACATTGCCTAGGCTACTGGTGGTGTTGTCATAGTGAAATGCATACACTTTGCATATCAGCACTGTTGGAACTGGTGCGTTTAAACCTCCCAGTAATTTAGAATTGAGGGATATTGGTGGCTTAAGAATTAGATAATCATTAACATGTTGCCTTTTGTGATATATTCAGAATCACTGTGGTCACAAATGTGTCACTTAGAGACAGGAGTAAGTCATTTATGTCGCAGTTCATCAGTGATACTTGTTTTTTATTCTCCCTCTCTACCTTCTATGGCTGCAGAGGCCTGAGGAAAACGATGCCATAACTTTAACACAGGCCCCTGCTGGATTCACAAAATAATTACCCACACTTGCCATCTGTTTGT